ATAGTGGTGAGAAAAAGCTGTTTTCTGGTTTCTTGCAATCAAGTTCATCTGTCCCAATTGTCCAGTGGTGCAGACTGTGAAAGGAATACTGTCATTGATGAGACAGTCCCCAGTCCTGGGCCCTCGATGTCCTAGTGGAGCTCCATTCACAGCCTACTTTTATTGCCCTTATAGTCTTTCTTCTGTAGCACCATACTCAGTGGGGAATGACTGAAAGCCTTTCTGAGAAATCAGGAAGACACAGTGGTGTGCAGTCTCACCACTCCTGGTCAATATAGAACATGAATTTGAGCCAGAGAAATTAGGCAAGAGTAAGAAATGCAAACAGGAAAGGAAGAAATCAGATGGTACATATTTGCAGGTGATGTGATTCTTACACACAACACCAGTTCCCCACATTTTTGGCATCGTGGACCAGCATGAAAGAAGAAAATTTCATCATATATGAGACTGCAGCATAGAACAGTTTGCAGACAATTCAAGGGCATAACATTTGTTATGTACCTCATTTGTCTTATTACAGTAATACATATTAAAATAATTATACAACTCATCACAATGCAGAAGCAAGAGGACTTTGAACGTGACAGGTAGTGACAGGGGACAGTGACATATGAGGATGTTGCTTATGTCCAGGCTGCATTCTATTGTCCTTTCAGTGGCTGTTACTGCAGAGAACCCTGCTTCACAAGCATAGAATTTTGCAAGTGGAAGCAAGATCTACAATGCTTTTGTGGCACTCTCATGAGATACTGCCTTGACTTTAATCTAGAACATACAGCGATCTGAAGTTGTCTCAAATACATGTTTAGGGCCACTGCAACAATTTTGGACCCAGAGAATGTGCCAAAACATAGCACATTGCCAATCTAAGAGGACATTGTGCTGGGTAAAATGATCTGGTCACCAATAAAAATATCACTATGTAATTCCACTTGCATGTGGAATGTTAACCCTTTGAACCCATAGAAATAGAGAGGAAAATAGTAGCTACCAATAGCTGAGGTGAGGGGAGATATTGGTCCATGGGCAGAAAACTTAGAAAAGAAGAAATGAGGCCCAGTGACATTTTGCGGAATGTGTTGAGTATGACTAGTAAGAATTACTCCTGGAAATTTCTAGGAGTGGATTTCAAAAGCTATTGCCAGAAAAACATACTAAATATTTGAATTAATGTATAGAATTCGTTTGAGTTGGCCAACCCACAAAGTACATATATTTCAAGACCATAATTTGTACATGATAAAAATATCAAAATTTTAGTACTGAATTAACAAAAATATATAAAATGTTCAAATGTATATCACATACAATCTTTAATTTTATCTTAAAGATATGTCCTATATTAACTTCTGGGCACAGAATTCTTTCATTTTGCTGGACACAGTGTTGCATGACTAGAATCCAAGCTACTGGAGAGGCTGATGCAGGAGATTCACAGGTTCAAAGCCAGCCTAGATGACTTAGTGAGACAGTTTCAAAATTTTGAAAAATGAATAGTGCTGCAAACTCAAGTGTTGCAGTGTCCTGTGGTTCTATTCTCAGAATTGCAATAAATAAATAAAATTATTTTCTTGTATATAAAAGTGGAATCAGCATACAGAAAATTGTGTACTTAGTACTATATATGATACACACACAAGACATTTTCCTGCTAGTCCACCCAACTCCATTTCCTGTTTCTTAATAGCTGAATGGAATCCTAGGGCTCTTGATGCACAGTGGGCTTGGGCTCAAATTGGCTGTGCTTTAATTCTAGTCCTGCCGCTATGCATGATGAAAGAGTAAGTGACCATGCAAACATCTCACTCCTGCCTGGCCCAGGTGCTACTGACAGTTGGGCCAGATAATTCCCCATGGCGGGGCCCTGCAGGATGCTGAGCGACATCCTTTATCTGTAGAGACCAAAGTTACTCCATTTTGAAAAGGAGACCATCTTGTGTAGAGTCCGACCTGTGGCTGAACTTAGGCTGAAAGAATTTGCTTAGCCTAAATAGAAACAGAATCAGATGGGTGGTAAAGGAAACCGCAACCTTGACGAAAAGCAGGATGTTCTATACAGATAAGAGGAACCTTCTGTTTCCCGTGCGGGCAAAAGAATATGTTGACTCCCCCACTGAACTTGCCCCCTTTAGATACCAGCCACTTCCTGCTTTTGCCTTCCCTCTTTCATAACTGTCCCAGCAATAACCAATAGATTTAAAAGTATAAGTACTGAAAGGGAATAGTGATGCTCAACAAGTAGGCCACACACACACACCAAAAGGTCCGACTGCAGATTTTATTCAAGGGGTGGGAGTAGAGAGAGAGAGCAGAGAGAAAGAGCAGAGAGATGAGGAAGAAGAAGAGAGGAAGAGAAGAAGAGAAGGAAAACGAAGAAAAGAAGGTCCTTTTATTGGTTTTGAGCTGGGTTATTGCTTATTCATGAGGAGTGGGCTACTTTTAACCTATCACAGACCAGGTCGTCTTTTATGGGTTCAGTCCTGAAGAAACAGGTTTCAACTTCTCTGTCTCACTATGGCCTTGGTGGGAGGGAAACTAAAGATAAGAGCACGAAGTCATTCTAAGAGTCAAGAAGCACCAGGGAAATGCAGCCTGTACTGGAGGCATCACAGCATACTTTAACCTGATCAATTCCCTAACATTCTCACCTCTTTGGTTTTAGATGAGAAATGCTGGCCAGTGCAAACCACACGTCAGGGGAAGGGGGCGACGTATCGGTCTTCTTTAACTACTTCCTGCTGAGTTTGGGGAGACAAGTCGACCTAGGGGCAGGTGTGGAGGCTGGCTGGCTGCGCTGTCCTTTATGAACATGGAATTGTTGACAGCAGTAGCATTTTTACTGGAATTGTTGGTAGGG